TACCAGCTTATACGCGTGTAAGTACAAAGCGCGGCAGTGAAGGCGTCATTTGAAATAAACTTTGGACATGAATGTTTTCTATAATGACTGTCGCTATGAAATCGGCATTCACAAACCAACCTAATGCTTATCTTACGTTTTCGTTAAGTTTCTGTACATTCTGCTTGCTTTATAACGACACAAAAAAACGGTAATGATAAAAAAGTAACTACAAAAGTAGTTTGCATATACCGGCCTACTTTGTTTGTCCAGGACATAAAATACACGAAACAGATAAGAAAAAAACGTGAGAAAGATAACATTAGTTTGCGAATGCAGACCTACATATGTAACAAGGTACCCGCTGTGGGCGTTTGTGGTGATAGCACTCGACTGTTGAGCCGAAGGTCACTGGATTGAATCCCGGCAGAAGTGGCCGTATTCTGATGGAGACCAAGTGCATGTGTGCTTAGATGCGGGGGCACACTATATACCCACTAGTTGCCGAAATTTCTAAAACCCTTCATCATTACGGCGTCGTTCGTTATAACATGTCTCCGAGACTTAAAATCCCATGAGTAATTATTAATGATATTGCGTATGCGCATGCGCACATTTAGTTTGCAAAACAAGCGAGTGAGGGCGCCACCAAGAGCGAACCTTAGCTTAACTTTTAATTGATAATGCAATCGTATAAATACAACACAGACAAGTTTCACCATAACAGTACATGCAATGAGCTACTTCGTATAAAACATATGGATTTTGCCAAAAGTACCTAAATATTGGCATCGATTGAATATTTTTCTGCAAATAATTCTTTCTCACTCTGCACGAATGAAGCCGGAAATACGCTGTGATTGAAAATTCAATATTTCCTGACTCTCTGCATGCGCGCGTGCGCTACCTACGAAAGAAAGAAGGAAAGGGAAAGCTACATCCCGGATTTTTTTCCGAGTGCTCATACGCGAGCCTCGAGTGCTGTGCACACACAGCCGACGACGCAACCGGCCCGCATTGACCAGGCGCGCACGCCGCTCCAAGCCCGTGCACTTTCGCTGCGGGGCGACTAACACAGTGTAAACACGTGCCCCACCGTCGCAGCAACGACGAAATGTAACGCTTGCCTCCTGCGGGGTGAAGCTATGATCGAAACAAACAAACATATTTAAAGTATAAGTCGGTGTATAAACAAGCAAAACAAGTTTTTCGAGAGGCCTGCGCTTCTGTTGCTGATGCTCGGGCCCGTGCGTCGATAGAGGGCGTTTCGCTTCCTTCCACTCTGAAAACGAGGACGACGAGGGCTCATTTTGCGAGCTACCTGACTACCAATCGCTTTTGAAATACACCTATTTTTTATTTTTTGTTTATTCGTCGACACATGCACGTCTTATTCCAGGCAACAAAAGCCGGATCGACAGCGCTGACTGCACGCCCACTTTCTGCGAAATATCAAGTCGCGGAGCAAAAATATGTTGCGTCAAATTTTCAGGATGCCATGACGAGCTCGGTGTTCAGGGAGAGTGAACCTTTGTATACTTCGTTCGAGCTACCGAGATTGATGCTTTGGTCATCAATGCTGAATTACGGAACTACGCCGAACTGTTCGTATACTGGTTACAGAAGCACTGCGTCATCTGGAAGGGTCTTGTAATGCAAATGTGCCATTACGCAGACACTTGCGATAAGGTATATATATACTACATAAATGTGTGACGTAACAATACTGATGTCACAGCTACATTTTCAGAGTGCTCAAAGCTGAGCCTCGAACTAGAGGCTTCCGTTTGAGCGCTCGGGAAACAACAGGAAGCAACCCTTTCCCAGACAGTGAAACACTTTGTCTTCTCTTTCCTCTCGGCACTCTTTGGTCAAAACTGACAAATATTCTATTATAGCCCGCATATCATTGTAATATCTTTCTCCGACTTACTAAGGAACTACAATAATGTATACGCCTATCGTTTCTTATCTTGAACGCAAGGTCGAATATATATATATATATATATATATATATATATATATATATATATGTGTGTGTGTTTGTGTGTGTGTGTGTTTGTGTGTTTGTGTGTGTGTGTGTGTGTGTGTGTGTGTGTGTGTGTGTGTGTGTGTGTGTGTGTGTGTGTGTGCAATTCTTTCACAAGCCACCGAGGGAGTTTATTTAAAACAAACAAAGAAGTACACTTATTCAAATTAGGATCCCAGCCATCACTGTTTAAAAATTGGGGGATGATTCTAAAGGGGCACGAAATGGTCGACATGGTCTACCAGCAATTCGCGCTTCTTATGGAAAAAAATATACAAGCTTTTTTGTCGCTATAGCTGCACGAAAAAATTGGGGGACTCTTAAGCTTCGCCTTTATGAGTTGAACGCGATAGCGAAATCTGGCCCCTAGTGCGCCCTTCAATCATTAAGTGTATACTTATTAATATGTTTTGTTAAACACACACACACACACACACCACACACACACACACGCACACACACACACACACACACGCACACGCACACACACGCACACGCACACGTACACACACACACACACACACACACACACACACACACACACACACACACACACACACACACACACACACACACACACACACACACACACACACAGTAGATCGTACCAGCGCACGTGCGCGAATGGTACAAGTTTTTTTATCTAGAGCAAGTGTCACATGGCCTCCAAGATACACGCCGCGCCCTCGCCATCTCGGAGGTCATAAAGAGTCTCACAATGCCTCATAGATAGCAGCACATTATCTAGCGTTTGCTGTTTGCTTGATCAACGCCTCTGGAAAGGCATAATATGTTGTCCGCTAGATGGACATAGTTGTCTATCATTAGAGCTGTTTGAATGTCCCTGTGTGTTTTTCGCGGCGATGGTTGCACTATTTTGACCTTTTTCGACGTAGTTTGAGGCTTCCCAAATGCACCAACAAATCGCTGAACGGGCTTGTTATTGTCTTGACACCTGTGAACATAACGCTTTAGAAGACTCCTTCCATTACATGACATTTGTGTAGTGTTTTTTCGCCAAAGCAGCCGTGAGAAGAGACAATCTTTTTCTTCCACTCGAAAAGGGTGGCCTCGGCCTTGTGCATTTGTTCGTGCGACAGTTGGTGTTGCGATTTTTCAACCTCAAGGATGTGTGCCACCCATTTCTATTAGCGGTTCCTCGTAACCGTCTATGTTACCACCTTCCTTTTATTCATGTCACAACAAGCGTTGCTAAGGAATTGCCGTTGCGGGGATCCCTAAAAGAAATTGTTGATACTGTCAGTTTTTTGAAAGCCACGTTTACCTTAGAGTATTTGTATACTATTGACAGAACAAATTAAACCGCTGCACTTGTGAATAATCTTTTCCCCGAACCTGTTTATCGAAAGCCATATTCGCTTCTGTCTGGTCACGATGTATTATTTCGTGTACGTAGAATGTGTATATCTCCTTCAGCGAAAACATTTTTCTTTAAACTGCACACTTCCACGCTGCCAGTGAAAACGTGGCTGAATGAAAAATCAATATACGTACCCTGGACAGTGAATTGTAGACTCTGCAACCAACCTGAGACTATAGAGCATTGTTTTATTCATTGTAGTGATGCTTTTTATTTTTGGGACATTCTAAAAAGAACGTTAAGAAAAGAACTTCCAATCACAGCACATGGTATTCGGTTCCTTCCATTCAAAAAGAGTCTGACTGAAAGTACTCCTTACGACCTGTTTATGTTGTTAGGACTTTATTCATTATGGAAAAGTCGCATGATCGATAGACATGCCGAGCCACCACGGTCGACTAAATCTGTCTTCCGAGAAGCAGCTGCTCAAGTGCGCAGTGTTGTCGAGACTTTTGACCCCGTTCCGGAGTGGCTTCCTGTTCTTGACGCTTGTGTGTGGTTGCCTGACTTCTGATGAAGTATGTTCTGCGTACTTTACTGGTGATAATGTCATTAATTAAAGAAAAAAAAAGTAACATTGTGGCTTTGTGGTAGGACATCTGCTTGCCACGCGAACGGTTCTGGTTCGATCCTCAATTTTTCTCTTTGTTTTATTTGCTTCTTTCTCGATCTTTTGCTCACGGACAATTTTTTGCTCACTGCCAGCGGTGCTGACGCCGACGGCAGAATCTCTGCGACACGAGCTCTTTAACGCTATCACGTTACAAGGTTCTTCGTTACTTTCGTTGTTCGTTAGTGACCACAGTTTCGTCGTGGCACAAGTGACGTCATGAGGTACACATAGGTCGGCCGTCGTCTCCTGCCAAAATTTTTGCCACCGCAAATCGTTCAGTTCCCCTGCCCAACTGAAGAAAGCTGAAATGTCTCGTTTGCACACCCATCCTAACGCGGAACAAAGTCATTCGCCGGAATGGCACTCGTACAGCAAGCTGCGTGTAAGACGTTGCGGTTCGCCAATGCGCCAGTGTTGCCTAACTCTCAAGTTGCTCTCAAAATGTTCAATTATAAATCAGGCGCAAGGTCAAATGCGATAAAATTGTGCCAGCTTATTTGTTAAGAATGAACTAACATAAATCAGATGAAACATGTTATGACAGAAAGTTGAGCTTCTTGGCCCCTCAAGCCTGAGAATATAATTTGCATATTCTCTTACATTATTTGCGCACTACATCAGTGTACACATATCATGCTTTTGGTCGTGCCTAAAATGCGTGAATAGATAACAATTTGAAACACAAATGAGGCAAAAAAATTCAACTGCTGAATTTCTAAAAACAAAAAAACTACCTGAGGTGTTTATTGCGCTTTGTGAAAGGCAGTAAATACTCCTGTTTTTATGTCCGGGCCTTGAGATTTTTCATCTCTAGATTTGAAAGTATTCACCGTAGCTCATTTGTGAATTATTTTAAAAAACAAGAAAAAAAACTTTCGCCCTGATAGTAATACCAAGTGGCCTTGGATCAGCCGTGTAAGGTTGACCTCTTTAGTGAGAGTGCGTCAGCAACTCACGCATAACGAAGTTTCACGAGGGCGCAGGCGAACGGCACTCACCGGAGATGGTCTTGACGAGGATCTCGACGCGGGCCCGGTCTTGTTGCTTGGGGGAGCCACCGTCTTCAGCGATGACCGTGAATGCGATTGTGGAGTCCGGCACGTCCGCGAGGCTTCGGTTGAGCATCACTTCGCCCGTGATGCCGTCCAGTGCGAGGTACCTGGGCGAACAGCGTGGACGGGTTACAGATAATAGACAGTTATAGTTTAGCGTTAGCGTAATAGCATAGGTTAAGGGAATGGCGTTACCGTGCAGCAAACGTTCGTTGTGGGCAGCGTCTTATAGTTCAGCGGGATAGCGTTTACGTGGTTTACGTGCCCCAGGTGGGACGGTGGCACTACCTATTGGACGGTTATAAGTTCAAGACAGTGAAAACTAAAAGAAAACGAGAATGTCTGCCTATGCCACCATGCGAAGCATTGTTACAAGTTCATTTTACTAATAATAAAAGCAAATGAATATGAACCACGCACCAAACGCGAAAAAAAATTATGTTGCTGATTTGTTTAAATCGATCTTGTGGTTAGGCCAGACGCGTTCGAAATGGGAAGCTATCGCAAAAATACATTAACTTACTTAATACGTTAATACTCGGTTATCGAAGCTAACTGAAGGCAAGCGAAGCCACTTTGAACAGTCGTTTGCTGCGAACAAGGTGAATCTTTCAGCAACTACGCCAAAAACACTTCGAAGCGGGCGTCCGAGAGCGCCGCCATGTTTACGCACACTACGTACACCTACGCTACCACGGTAACGTGAAATCTGAAAAATACCGCGCGTACGGGAAGCGGTACGAGTGACGTACGTATCTGCGTATGCGCACTTCGATTCTGGTATCACGATACACCCGGTAACCCGGTAAGTCCGGTCTAATGTAACTCTCTAATGGTACAGCTAGCGCTCGCGTTCCTCCAGGCAAATATGCGTCTTTGAACTATCGCGTGGAGGGTTGTGAGGGTTTCTCTATCAAACACATTATTCGTTTCTAAAGCATGTCCCCCTAGCATACAACTGTAACTTTTCAAGGTTAAGCAACGCCTGTGCTTTTCGTCGGCGTATTTTCAAATCAAAATTTACATTAGAGGCAACCTTTGACGGTCAGTTTAGCAGCGACTTGATGCAGTCATTATTTTGTAAAATAGCGTTTACCAGACGTGATATTGCGAATTCTTAGATAGTGTTTTGACTCGTGCGCATATAGCATGTACCCACAACCTCATGAACGGATACTCTGGCTTTGGAAACACTAGTGATATTCCCCATCTAGATAATATTTCTTATTTTTCTAACCATGTCGTTAGGGCATTTATTACTGAAACTGATTGCGGATACATTTATTTGTTGTGTTTGCCCAAAGAACTATTTTTCTTTTTGTTATCTTGGCATACTACTCAGTGGCAGGGCAAGAGGCAGAATTCTCTGATTTACTGTTCTTTGTCAACTTAATTTTATTTCACCTAGAAGAATGTTCTCTATCGTTACTGTCAATACACAAACATACACTAAGAAGTGCACAACAGGTTCGGAACAATAAGTATAAATGAACTGATTTAGTCTTTCCAGCGCACTCTAAAACGCACACAAAGAAGTTTTTATAATTTTCTTGGCCTTATAGACTATGTTTCGAGCTAGGTCGGCTGTCATCTCGGGATTGTAACTCTTTGTTTTGATAAATATACCGCTTTGAAGTCATGGGAGATTTTTACGAGCTTGTGTATACCACATTTCTTGCATATACCCCCTCAGAATTTACCCAGCATGCCGACGATCATCATATTCATCATCATCATCTTGATCACTATTAGCCAGGCTACGCCCATTTCAGGACAAATGTCTCTGCCATGTTCTGCCAATCAACCTTGTTTTTTTTTTTGCGTTCTGCTAACACTTTATTCCTGTGAACGATTACACCGTCAAGGCCGTGCGGACAGTCCGTTGTGCGCAGCTTGTGGCTCCTGCGAAACACTTGAGCATCTCCGTAGTTCACTGTCCCACATTTGCTACGCAGCGGACTTTGCTGGTTTAAGCACGACGGTAGACGACTACCTATTTCCGAGAGGTTGTGCTTCCTGACGTGACCAGGCCCACCGAGCTCTCCTTACAATTATGAACTAAACAGACCTGGCCACCCGTTTATAGACGTTTTTTTAATTATTTTTATTTATGTTTTCTACTCATACTCGTCAGTCTTCATCATTTTTTTTCATTCCTCATCTTCTTTCCTCTTTCTCTCCTCTATTCTTTGTTTTCTCTGTTTCTTCCCTCCTCCCGAAAGAGTGAGCAGGCGTTGTGCCACTCCAGGTGGCAGTTGCCCAGTTTGCTCTCTCCCTCTTTCCTCTGTGTCCTTGTGTGTCTGTGTATGCAAATGTAATATTAATTTTTGAATTGAATTGAATTGTTTAGTTTCAACATAATACATGTCGAAGGACGGTACGGCTTAAGGCAGAATCAACTGCCTGACAATGGCGCTACCACCCAAGCACTCTCCAACAGGGTTGTGACTATCATTAAGAAATTATACACTAGCAAGCGGAAGCTGTGCACTGAAATAAAGAAAAAAAAACATGACATATCGCTATTTGTAAGGATGGCGACATACATGCAGGAATAGTACAATTGAATTTTTTTAAAATAATGTAACAGGTCATAACCCACATGATGTTAGAGGCCTACTTATACTATGAAGGCACGAACGACAACAAATATGATTAACAACACGTTTAAACAGGGATGTTGATGAAACTTAATACACATTGTTGAATACTTGCGGATGTTGGTTTCAGATACTAGAGATCTTGTGTTTAAGTTCTTTATGCCGTATTTTGTTCTGCAAAGCGGAACTTCGAGGTGGCTATGTCGTAAGCTATATGGATTGTGGTTAGTCAAGAATATGTGTGTATACCTAGATTGATTTTGACGCATCTTTCTGTGTATATAATGTAGCAAGTTTGAGGTTGTATAGCTGATCCACTTTTAATATCTCATTTTTTAAAGAAAAATGGTGCTGTATGGTCAAGCCATTCAAGGTTTTCTATGTTTCGAACAGCTTGTTGTTGGAGGATTGTCAGCCTACATAAGTTTCTTTTGCTTGTAGTACCCCAGAATAAGAGTCAGTAATATAGTTGAGAAAGTATCAGTGTATAGTACAGCTGACGTTTTGGCCAAGTCGGAACCAGATGCCGGATATTATAAAACAATTGATTGGACCTGGAGATGTTAGTATGCAATTTGTTTACGTGATGAGTCCAGTTCAAATCTTCTTCGAACAACACTCCCAGAAACTTAAATACAGATACCTGTTCAATAGCGGAAGCATGAAAACTAAGAGAATAATAACCTTACCCCAACGAGAAAGAACAAAAGAAAAAAAACAGACCCATAATCCCCGCACATTACCTGCATCACCAACTTCTAAGCAAACTTTTTTTTTTGCCTTTGAGTGCCAATTATTCGGGAAAATATATTCAAAGGGCAGATACATATTATTACGACGTGTATGTGCCGGATTGATAAGAGGGAATAGAAGTGTGGACTTGGGAAGAAGAAGATCTCTCGGCAGTTTTATCCGGTGCGGCCTCGCCATCCCAGCTTCCGTTCAATAAACCCCCGTACCCCTACTTCAGGCGTAACAGAGTGGTGGAAGGTGCTGGGTACAGTATACGTCGACGAACCACGGAGCCACAGCTGTTCGAACTTCGCCGGAGCCGTCGTATTGCCGGTCTGCCACCGACACCAACTGCCATGGCCGAGAGCGAAGGTCACGCCTTCTCAACCACACAAAGGTCAGTGCCAGCTGCACCTCGATATCACTATATGGAACCCCGCCCGTTCGCGGGAAGAGCAGGAGAAGATGTGGATGCGTGGCTGACACAGTACAAAAGGGTGAGCCGGTACAACTGCTGGGATGCCACCGACCAACTGGGAAATGTCGCGCTGTTTCTCACGGAAACAGCTCTGATGTGGTACGAAAACCACGAAGATTCCTTAACAACGTGGGATCGTTTCACTGAAGAGCTCAAGAAATGCTTCGGCGACTCTGATTCAAAAAAGAAGAGCGCGGAGCGCACGTTGGCTCAAAGAGCTCAGACTCCTGGAGAAACGTGTACCACCTACATAGAGGAGGTCCTGATGCTCTGCAAGATCATAGACCCGTACATGACTGAAGAGGACATGGTCGGCCACCTTCTGAAGGGTATAGCAGAGGACGTCTACAACTTTTTGATAGGCAGGGAAGACCTCACTTCCGTCTCCGCCGTCCAACGTCACTGCCGTACTTTTGAGAAGCTAAAGACCCGTCGTATTGCCCCGAAATTTGGTAGGCTGGCAAATGTAACAACGGTCGCCAGCGTCGACGTGAGCCCGCCCGCCGACCTTGCCGCTACTATCCGGACAATAGTGCGGGAAGAACTACAGCGACAAGACACACTGTTCCACGACACCATCCGCCATACGCCTACCTGTTCATCCTACTACCCGGCCCCGTTCGCTCCTCTGCCACCATCAGTATGTGTGACAGACGTTCGCGAAGCTAGGGCTTCGTGGCCACGCCGAGACTCATTCGCGTCTGACCAGCGGTATGACCAACGTCTTCGTCCCGGCCCCGCCCCACAGAGGCGCGCAGCTCCCGTTCAGCAATCTGCTCCACCCCGTTCGGTTAGGCGACCCTACACAGCCCAGCGCTCTCAGCAGTGGTTCGGCGAGCGACCCCTACCCATCTGCTACAACTGTGGCGTCGAAGGCCACATTGCCAGGTACTGTAACTACCGGCAGCCGCCGAGGTACGACTGGCCACCGAGATCCCACCTGTCCGACTTTGCACAAGCACCAACGTTCCCTGGAAGCGCATCTTACGAGACACCAAGGCCGCTGCGAAACCGTTCTCCAGCCTCTGACCGCAGTCTGACACCCCCGCCAGCCCCTCGCTCCAATCGGTCGCCGTCTCCTAGGCGCCGCTACCCTTCGCCGCCTCCGGAAAACTAGGCAGCGCGGCCGCTGGGGGTGAGGTCGCTGGTGATTCGCTGCAAGAAGAGATACCTCCACCGGTGCTTATGTTTAAAAACAAAGTGCAAGTTTTTGTTGATGGTGTACATACGATGGCTTTGGTGGACACTGGAGCCGCCGTGTCGATCATGAGTGCTGCGTTCAAAGCTCGTTTGGGAAGAAAGGTGACCTTTTTGTTGGAGAAAGCGATAACGTTCTGTGGCGTGGGCGGCAACTCGTTGTGTCCGATTGGTGTTTGTACCGCGGCAGTGTTACTGAGTGATCAAGTGTTTGTGACAGAATTCACGGTTCTTCCGCGGAGCACTCATGACATCATTCTAGGCATAGATTTCTTGCGAATGTGCGGAGCCACTGTAGACTGTCGAAATGGCGAAGTTATCATAAGTGACGCTGTTCCTCATGGACTTATCGAGAATTCGGGTACGGAAAGCGGTGCGCTCCGAGTCTATGAAGATACCGTTATCCCGGCCTTCTGTGCTGTGCGCGTTCCAGTAGCTTCTTCGCATATTAACGACAATAAGACCAGTTTCGATGCGCTAGTGGAGCCTTTCCATCTAAGTTGTATAAAGAAGAACACGTTGGTACCCCACAGCATAGTTTCAGTGAGTGAAGGTCGTTCAGACCTTTGGACAACGAATTATTCAAACGAACCGGTGCTGCTACCAGGAGGACTTAAGCTAGCGTCGTTTAAAGAATACTCGCCAACAACAGTAGCTGTCCTCAGTGACGTTCGACGGGATGAACAAGTGACCGCCTGCTCAGACAGTTCGAAAGTTTTACCTATGGTTGATAAGGCGCTGACTGCCGACAAGCGCAGAATGCTTGTGGACGTTTTGTTAAAGTACTTGCAAGTTTTTGATTTCTCCCAGAGTGACCATACGCCTTCCATTCCTCCATTTCGTATACGCCATAGGATAAATACACAAACAGCACAGCCAATCCGACAAAAACCGTACCGAGTATCGCCGTCCGAGCGCAAGATAATAGACAATCAAGTGCGTGAAATGCTCCAAAAGGGCATCATTCAAGAATCATCGAGCCCTTGGGCAGCTCCTGTGATCCTTGTGAAAAAGAAAGACGGTACCTGGAGATTTTGTGTCGACTATCGCCGTTTGAACTCCATCACGAAGAAAGATGTTTATCCTCTTCCACGAATTGATGACGCCTTGGACTGTCTCCATTCGGCGTCATACTTCTCGTCTATCGATTTACGTTCAGGCTACTGGCAGATTCCCATGCATCCAGCGGACAAGGAAAAGACTGCTTTCATAACTCCAGACGGACTTTATGAATTTAACGTGATGCCGTTTGGATTATGTAATGCTCCTGCCACATTCGAAAGGTTCATGGATACCATTCTGCGTGGCCTAAAATGGAACGTCTGTATGTGCTACCTAGATGACATCGTGATCTTTGGGCGCACATTTCGTGAGCACAACGAACGCGTGGACATTGTTCTGGAATGCATTAGAAACGCTGGCCTTGTTCTTAATTCGAAGAAGTGTCATTTCGGCGAGCGACAAACCTTAGTACTTGGGCACCTTGTGAACAAAGATGGGATCAGGCCTGACCCGAGCAAGACAGCAGCTGTGAAAGCGTGCAAACCACCTCGCTCAACGAAAGAGCTTCGCAGCTTCCTAGGCCTGTGCTCGTACTTTCGCCGATTTATTCCCGCATTCGCCGACGTTGCCTTCCCCTTGACCAGTCTGCTACGTCAAGGTACTAGCTTTGAATGGACACATGACTGTGAGACGTCTTTCAACCAACTCAAGTTCTTACTCACATCGCAGCCCATTCTCCGACACTTCGACCCTTCGGCGCCGACCGAAGTTCATACTGACGCCAGTGGCATTGGCATAGGTGCAGTTCTAGTACAACGACACAGTGGAAAGGAACATGTCATTGCGTATGCCAGCAGAACTTTAAGTAAACCAGAACGGAATTACACAGTGACTGAGCAAGAATGTTTGGCACTCGTCTTCGCTGTACAGCGATTCCGTTCATACCTGTACGGTCGTCCCTTCCAAGTGGTCACAGACCATCATTCCTTGTGCTGGCTTGTAAGCCTCCGAGACCCATCTGGCCGCCTGGCACGCTGGGCCCTCCGCTTGCAAGAGTATGACTTCACGGTGTCATACAAGAGTGGCAGGAAGCACGCTGACGCTGACTGCCTTTCGCGGATGCCGCTTACTACAACACTTTGCGATGCCGACAATTTCGATCACCTAATTGCGTCAGTGACTCCAGTATTCCCGGACAAGACCACCTTTGAAAATGAACAGCGGAAGGATGTCAGCTTGGAGCCATTATTTGCTGAAGCACGAGCGTCCACTTTGGCCGGACGCTTTTGCGTTCGTGAAGGATTACTTTACAAGAGGACCTTCTCGGCCACGGGTTCCCGCTTCTTGCTGGTGGTGCCGCACACACTCCGTTCCTCCATTCTGCGCGCCATGCACGACGACGCAACTTCGGGTCACCTGGGAATGACGCGAACACTCCTTCGTACACAGGAGCGATTTTACTGGCCACGCATGCGCCAGTCAGTTGAGCAGTACGTGGCCAGTTGCACTCAATGCCAGACGCACAAATCAGTCACGACTGCTCCGGCTGGACTTCTACAGCCTGTGACGCCTCCCAGCACTCCCTTTGAGCAAGTTGGCATTGACCTCGTGGGCCCTTTTCCACGCTCGGCAAAAGGCAACCGTTGGATTGTAGTGTGCGCCGATTACCTGACCCGCTACTGCGAAACGGCCGCCCTGCCATCTGCGACTGCTGGCGAAGTATCCTCCTTTCTCCTGCACTCTATCATACTGCGCCACGGACCTCCTCGCGTCATAATAAGCGACCGCGGCCGTCAGTTTACGGCAGACGTTGTTGAGGAACTGCTCCGTATGTGTGGCTCGGAACTTCGTCATTCGACACCTTACCATCCACAGACGAATGGCCTTACTGAACGAACGAACCGGACACTGGTGAATATGCTTTCAATGTACGTGGCGTCCAATCACAAGAACTGGGACGACGTCTTACCGTTCATCACGTATGCCTTCAACACTGCCCAACACGAAACCACCGGCCACAGCCCTTTCTTCCTTCTTTACGTTCGACCCCCTCGTTATACCCTGGACACTATCTTTTCGTTTTATGACAATGACGATCCTTCATTAGCTGAAACACTATGCCTTGCAGAAGAAACTCGGCGTCTTGCCCGCCTGCGTACTATAGCATCGCAAGACCGCTCAAAGCTCCGCTACGACAGCAAGCACCGCCACGTCACATATGAACCGGGAGACCTTGTAATGGTGTGGAAGCCTATCCGCAAGCGTGGCTTGTCCACAAAACTTCTCGCCCACTACACTGGCCCATTCGTTGTCCTTGAGCGCCTCAGTGCAGTAGATTATAAAATAGCACGACTGACAGCTAGTGGGAGACGATCAACCAAGACCGAGGTTACCCATGTGGCTCGCCTCAAAGCTTTTAGACTGCGGGACGATGCATGAAACGCGCGGTGCGCTTCGTCTGCGAAGGGGGAAATATTACGACGTGTATGTGCCGGATTGATAAGAGGGAATAGAAGTGTGGACTTGGGAAGAAGAAGATCTCTCGGCAGTTTTATCCGGTGCGGCCTCGCCATCCCAGCTTCCGTTCAATAAACCCCCGTACCCCTACTTCAGGCGTAACAATATCATATGATGGCACGGGGACGGTCGAGAGCTCACATTTAGGCTAATAAAATCACCTAGATGTCCGGGAAACATTATTTCCTTTATTTCCTTTAAAAACCGTCACTGAAAGTCAAGTCACCTGAGCGCCCTCGTAGACTCCGGCCCGGCTTCGAGGCGGTAGTAGACCTCAGCGTTGTATGGCACCGGGTCCGGGTCATGGGCGCGAACCTGGAGTACCGGGTATCCGGGCCTGGTACGGGTCTGGTGCACCTCAGAGCGGTACACAGGGTGCTCAAATCGGGGCGGGTACTGATTGGGCACTGTCACCTCGATCTGCATCGTCTTCACCTCGGTGACACCCTGACTCACGGCTGCCACGATCACCTGAAAAAAAAAAGACCATCAGACATAGAGTCGGTCTTAACCCTTTCACACGTTGTGTCCAAAGTTTTGTGCACCACTCTATTTTACTAATTGTATCAATTGGTTTTTAGAGTACCGGCACAATACGTCAAGTGGAACAGCACAAAGGCCGCCGTCTCATGTAGGGTTACGTCGCGCTATGCATGATTTTTACTTTAAAAGCCTGCTCGTGCTTAGTTGAAAAACAAAGGACATCAGCTACAACTAGCAATGAGAAAACCAGGCGGGGAAATTGCCTGCGTATTATGCAAGGCTAGATCCGCCAGCTACCTACAAAATCCTCAACCTCAACCTCAACAAAAGGCGAGTTCTATCAGGCTTTTGAAGAATTGAATTTGCTCCATAACTAATTTGTTTTTGCCTAAGTTTATTTTGCAGCGCACTGCTGCGTGTAATCGGTCTGCTGAAGACATTGCCACGTTCTACGTGTCGTTTTACTTGCTGTTTCCTGTTAGCCATGCGAAATCTATAATTGTATTTTGCTCAGAATGTAGGCAATCGAAAATGAATGTACACGCAATTGAATGCATGAAATTTAACTTTGTTTATGCAGAACAAGTCATCACTGACTTCAGAAGAAATAGATATTTAATTACCACCTAATTTTAATACTTACTCTAACACATGTTGTTTAACATATTGTGGCGTTATTTTTGTTGCAATGAACTACTAGGTGCCTTCGAATTATTTCTATCGATTAGACACGTTTAGACACACAGTTCTTCGCAGGTGGCGTCTGAAAAAATGGCAGCATATCCACGGAGTGAATTATGGAGAGTGGGGTGAAGCATTCGTTCGTCCATGCGTCCGTCTGTGTGACCGTCCATGCGTCTGTTCGTGCGCCTGTCCCTGCGTTCGTTCATGCATCCGCCCCTGCGTCCGTTCATGCGTCCATCCATGCATCTGTCTGTGTGTCCGTTCGTTCATCCATTCAACACTCCAAGTCCCACCATCTCGCATCTTTTTATCATATATTTCCCATATAGAAGCACCACCATTCAGTGGACATTCCAAGGACTAAACGAGAGGTGGCACACGCACACTTTCTTACGGCTTGCGCTCTGGGTCTACTTCCCACCTTCAACCACCTTGAGTTCATGGTATATACTAGTTCACTGTATTCATGGCACTGCGGCCCAATGCTCGCTAAACCTTTCTAAAACCAAGTAGGTTACGCCCAGCGAGTATAACGTAGCAACCTTTTCCTGTCAGATATTGCGCAATGTACATGCCAGTGGCTGCTAATGTGAAATGAGAGACAGGAGGATTCAGCTTTTAATTTCTTACGGCTTGCGCTTCGTATCTGCTTCCCTCGTTTAACCCCCTCGAATTCATTCGTGGTATATACTAGTTCATTGTATTCATGGCCCTGCGGCTCAACGCTCGCTAAACCTTTCTAAAACTAAGGAGGTTACACCGAGCGAGTATAATGTAGCAACCCTTTCTTGTCCGATAGTGCTCAATGTACATGCCAGTGGCTGCTAATGGGGATCGCAGCGTGCGCGTTGACTAAAAGCCGAATGCTCCTGTCTCTTATTTCCCATTAGCAGCAATTGGCATGTACATTGAGCACTATTTTTTATTGTTAAACAACGCACAAAGAAATCTCTCACCGGCACCACCTTGGAGGTCAAATGTTATACCTATTTTGGGTATGTGCCACTGGTGGTTACGTACTACGAGAGACACCCAAGCCACGCCTGGTGATCCCTCCAGGTACTGAAAACTTAAGTTCCCCGCGTCCCGGGGCCATTTCTGAGGAATCGCAGGCCAAGCCCTCGTCAGACGAAGCGCCTCGTGAGGACGGCGTCTCGGATGGGAATATTGCATCTGACGCTCCTCGCGTTGCAGCTCTGTCGACAACAAGTTCAGGTGTCATCGAGGAGTCTACATATCAAGACGACGACGCCTGCATCTACGAGGACTCCAACAGCACCGCGAGTGAAGCGCCCCTACAAATTGACGAAGACACCAGCCCCAGTGACATAAGCCAGGACAGTGGAGACGTCTTTGTACCATCCTCGCTCAAAAACCCGGACACCAAACGCCACCGAATAACTACTCGTGACTTACAAGCCCCCACCAGAGACAGAAGTCCCCTGCGGACTTCGACGCGATCCCGGAAGCCCCGAGCCTCCGGTGGATCGCCTGGCCGGAAAAAATGACTCAGCCACTTGCGGGGCATTGGCTCCCGCACCTGATAAAGGTACCCCTGCATTTGCGTGATCCTATACTATGTTTTCATTTTCCCCATGGCTCTTACTCTAAAAGTTATTACTTTTAACGTTCAAGGATTCCGAAATCCACAAAAACAGGCTGAGGTATTGGCTTTTGCACGTTCAGTGCACTGTGATTTGCTGTTCCTGCAAGAAACAAACTTTTTTAAGCTTTCTGGTGTACTCGCTTTCAAGCGCGCGTTCAATTTTGATTGTTTCTTTTCGTACGCCAGCACGCATTCGACTGGCGTCGGAGTCGTTATTTTTAACCGAGGTCTTTAACGTGACCATCATGTTTCCTTCGATGCCTTCGGACGCGTGCTGGCCTTCGACTGCACCTTTTTTTTCGTTAAGAATAAGATTTGTTGCCGTGTATGCCCCAGTGGCACGCGAGAATTCAAACGCGTTCTTCCAATCTCTTGATGCGTTCCTTTTAAATTCCCGACATGTGGTACTTTTAGGGGATTTCAATTGTGTCTTAGACTCACACGCAGACGTTCGAGGTCCGGGTCGCGGCCGGTCAAACTGGAATGCCAGAGAACTCGAACGTCTAGTGCAGCAATTGGCATTGAGTGACATTCATCAAAGTGTGCATGGCAGTAATTATGCCTATACTTGGCGTCGAGCAGCCGAATTGATCGTGTGTATGCATCCCCCAGTCTCATTACCTACGTTCACGACACCGGGGTAATGTCATTGCCACCGACACCAGTGTACATTAGCGACCATCGGCCGGTTATGTTATCTCTCCGCCTGCCAGCGGGGACGCCAACGGTTGACAGACCATGGCGTCTCGATTGCCGCGTCCTCCAGGACTCTCAGGCTACAAAGAAATTATCCCGAGCGTTACGCGCATCGCTCATTGGGGCCGACGTAGCTGATTGGTATCGCCTCAAAGAACAGTGGCGGCATCATTGCAGTGCGTCGGGCAGAGGACTTTGCACCCGTATGTCGAAAGATGCGTCATTGTTAATCCAGAAGATACGCATTGCCAATCGAGATCCCAGTCCTTCCACTGTAATGCGGGCATGGCAAGAGGAGCTCGTTGAACGGTACCAGCGTATTATGCGCACTTCTTCACTCTCGGCTGCAGCTCGGCGCTGTAGACGTGCACCCTGTGCGCACCCTGAGGTGCTAAGGTATGCACGCAGAGCTCTGCTTTGTCCACCAGGCTCGCCTGCCCACTCGCTGAACTCTATCACCCCAGCTGCTGCGGGTACGCACGGCTTTCAGGAATTCACTCAACAGTTTGAGTCAATAGCTAAATCTGGTGCTAATGTCTGTTACCCAGGATCCGTTTCTTCGCATCCTCTGCTAACAGATTTACCTCATGATTCCAACATGTCAAATGACGTCCTCCTATCACCGCCATCCGATGACGAAATCAAAGGCGCATTAGACGCAATGAAAAAGGGATCGGCTCCAGGGCCTGACGGACTCCCTGCAGAGTTTCATGTACAGTTCTGGCCTATCATTGGTCCAACTATGTCACGCGTCATTCGCAAGTGTTTACAAGATATTACACTTTCAACTTCTTTCCACAAAGGCCGTATAACACTAGTTCCCAAGAAAGACCCAATGTCCACGCGACCAGAAGATTGGCGCCCTATTACCCTGCTCAATGTAGATTACAAGCTGTTGGCTAACATTTTGGTGCGCCGAATCAGTCCATTTCTTCCAACATTAATCGCTCCCCACCAGGTCTGTTCTGTTCCGGGCCGAGAAATACACACCCATACGTGGTTAACGCGTGACATCATTCAATACACCATTAGCCGATGTGCGCAAGAACTGTTGGTTTCATTAGACCAAGAGAAAGCTTTTGAGTTCATAGAACATGGCTACATACTAAATGTTTTACATGCATACGGATTCCCGGATAAGTTCATTGACCTTATCAACGCGATGTACACTAATTTAGAAAGTACCCTTTACTTAGATTCCCGTGAGAGTCACGCATTTAGAGCCACGCGTGGGGTCCGTCAAGGGTGTCCCCTCTCGCCAGTGTTATTTATCCTTGCATTAGAGCCCTTCTTAAGGGCTGTTGAACATCACCCGCAGATTCGTGGCTTACCTCTACCCGGTAACACTCATGTAAAGGTCGCTGCATATGCAAATGATATCACTCTGTATGTACATAATGAACAGTCGCTGCAGCATGCTCTTGATGCATTCCATGATTTCGGTATTATCTCCGGTGCAAGGTTAAACTTTTCTAAAAGCCAGTATTTTTTCATTGGCAACCCCAGCGGTCGTATCAACATCACGTCGCCTTTACAGTGGTCTCCTGAGATTTCAATACTCGGAGTTACTTTCACTGTATTTGGTGTACAGGATAGCATCTGGTCATCCGTTGTACAAACTCTTTTAAATGATATCAAAGCAGCCAGGTACTTCGAATTCCCCCTCTTGGAACGCCGATACGTAACTCAAACGGTGTACCTAGGAAAATTTTGGTACCTTTGCCATTTTGTTAAACCACCACTCCACGTCTGCAGGAAAGTGCAAAGCTGCATCAGTTCATTTTTTGGTCTGGTGGCAAAGAATTGTTATCGCGTCCAGCTTTAGCTCAACCGCGAGATCAAGGCCGTTTTGCATTCCCCGACGTTTCCGTCGCAGCTTCTACATTGTGCCTCCGCACTCTATTGCGAATACTAAGCAATGATGACATGCCCGCTCAGACACTGGCTCGCTACCATCTGGGGCCATAACTACGTGTCTTCTTGCCGGATAGCCAAATGAACAAAGGTCCCCAATCAACTGAATTACCATCTTTGTATCGAGCCCTTCTGGCATTTCACCGACGTTTGGAAGCTACGTGCCCAGAGATAGAGGTGACCGATTCTAAAGTGGTGTACACAATGGCCGCCCTTCTACGGCCCTTGGTGCCCCAGCATCGCCAATCTGTATTGAACCGCGCTTGGAAACCAATAACTGCCGCAGTGGTACCAGGGAATCTCAGAGACTTTGTCTAAAGGTTGGGCTGGGGCTTGCTCCCCACGCGAGATCGGTTGCAGCGATGGCAGGTAGTTCGCACTTCCACTTGCCCCAACTGCGTCATGGTAGAGACCAATCGACATGCGACGTTTGATTGTGTGGTTTCCCGCCTTTTTTGGCGTGCGGTTAATGCTGGTTTTCGGGGACAGGGTGTGCGAACTTTCGTGTCCAACGGCCGATTTGCGCGTAGCCGCTTCTCCGCTCTCCTAATAGTTGCGGGGCTGTTCAGCCTTTGGAGAAACCGATGTGAGGCCGTAGCTGCCAATTGCCGCCGACGTGCCTTGTGGCCGATACTGGGGAGAATGAGACGAGAGATCCTTGCGTTCCTCTCCGAAGAGCTTTTCTTTCTCGGGGAGCAAGAGTTTCTGCAGCATTGGTCGTGCCCTTTCGTGAAGGTGGAACACGAAAGGATAAAACTCATTTTTCGACCGACTTGGTGCTAAGCAGCGCCCGTTGAGTTGTTATATATGATTTCATTTGTTACAAATTGTGTTTCATTTGGATCTATTGTATCGTTATACCCTTGTATCGTGATATCACATTGAATTTTTGTGTACATGTGTGCCAACATAATCATGTATATTAGAGCAAATGTCTTCACTGTAATGTAGTGATGTTAGTCGTGAAATATAGACGTGCCGAAGTGTATGTGCCCTGTTACTGGAATGGTATGAAGCCTTTGTGTTCTGTACTTGCTGTAAATAAACTTTTTCTAAACAAGGAGCTTCGCCCCTAAAAAGTGAAAGTACCCTAAACAGCCCACAAAAGTACAAAGAATAAGTGCGTTATTGGCTTCTATCACTGGCTTAACGAAGCGACGCCCCCCCCCCCCCCCCCTCGGAACAACGTATCACCGTCGCATATGACATATATAGCCCACAATTGCACCCGGCCTGATTTTGTGCCTGCCAGGCTTCCACTCTAAATTGAATAGAACCCCCCCTCCTCACCCCCTCCCCCCCCCCCAAAAAAAAAGATTTCTGCTTAGGCCGCTGTCTTCTAGTGCTAGCCATCTTTTCGGTTCGATTTGAGATACCAGAAGTCTGTTCACACGACGTCAGGAGGAAATAAGCTCTAGATTGGCTCATATACGAGACATAGCAGATGTCTCAATCACCTCGTATACATTCCTTTGGATTTGAATCAGACGACCACTCAGTCTTATCGGGTGTATAATGCACGTGGTCTAATTATTGCCCTTCAACTTGTGCGTTTTTGACTGCGCAAAGGTGTATGACAGTGTATAGCCAAAAAACAGGAAATCTTGATTTACTAAACGTATACAACTAACATTCTTCGGGTATCCTTGGAATAAATAGGTAACGAGGAGGATTTAGCCCTCATAAGAAGAGCAGTGATAATAAAAAGACTGCTTCCTCGCCTTGGAACTCAATGTGGTTTTGTTACCCTTTAACATGACGTCATGAAATTTGACTTGGGCACCTCATTACGTTAGTGCTGACTGCTGTTATCAAATACTCTGTGCAACGCATTTATGTTTGATTGTTCGCTGTCTTACGCTACAAAATGTTGAACAACATATATACCAATTTTTTTGGTGCTCCCCGCTTTGTGACCGCATCGGCATTGGCTAAGACCACCAATGTGTGCTGTTTAATACGACAACGTGACAAATCACTTTTGTGTGGACGCAGAATTGATCTGTTATTCTATGGTGACTGTTCACGTCAGTCTAGTTCATCATCAGCCGTAATTTGTTTCCGTTTGTTTTCATTTAGACTGCTGCAATGAGATACTCAGTAAACGCACCGGCTGCGGGAGCCGTAGTGGTGATTAGCCTTCGCACAACTGGGCTATTCTCAATACTGCGTCGCTGTCACCGATGGCCTTCACCAGTAAGCGCAGGCTAATAAATCAGAATGAATGTTTTCATTGTATTCCTCACGTGACTACAGTGAATTTGCGTCCTTAACAACGCTTTAATTAAAAAAAAAGCTATAGCCAGGCCAATATATTGGAATGCATGCTTCCTAGCCATTCTATACCCATTTAGACCGTAGTGTTATCCTTAACAATGCGTTGACTCCCTATACTGCTAACTGACAGATGTGCTCTCTGATATCACATTATTACCGCTATCAGCCTACTATGCGCACGATGTCCAGTGGAAGCGGCACACAACAATAAAAATTAACAGGACAGTTTTTCGTTTTGTTTGAGCTGGAAATCATCGTTATATTCACACTTGCCCAATTGGCTACTTTGTTATCCCCGTGTCCCACCCCCCCCTCACTTCACCTCGTACTTATCGCCGACCTTGCGGGTGATGGGTCGCGCCGTGGTCAGGTTTCCCGTCACGTGATTCAGATGGAAGAAGGTCGAGTCCTTGACATCCAAGAGGCTGTAGGCGACGGGCTTCCCAGGCGCTGATTCGTCTAGCGCTCGCACGGTGGTCACGTGTACACCCACTGGGGCGCTCTCATGGACTCGAGGGTCGTGAAACGGCGACCAAAACACCAGGACGCCTGATACAAGAGGGGAAAAAAGGATAGAGGAGAAGACATGAAAGGCAAGAAGCAAATTGTAGGTGGGCCGCACAGTCATCACACATTGTAATTTAATAGGAAGTCTATTAAAGATATGTGAAAGTAGCATAGCATTCTTCAAGCATGTGCAGCAATATTGTGTGTTAAAAAAAAAAAAGTGGTTGACGATTTAAAGCACTTGGTACTCTACTATGGGAGAGCTTAAAGCCGTCTCGTGGGCCTTGCTAAAAGCAAGGAGGTTATTTCTGCAAATATTTCTTTATGGGTAACAAAAGATAAAATTCTTCCAGAAAAAGAAGACTGAATAAAAACGCAAAAACCAACCATCTTGCTCTAGAAATTATTTGACTACTTAGGACATCACAGATGCTTACGGTATGTATAAGTATGCAATCTGACAGCTCTGATTTGACATCCTCGGGAATAGCGATTTCTTAAGCAAGTTTCTCGTAATCTCCATCAACACAGTGTCGGTTGACGGCCCCTGTGTGTTTTTTTTTACAATTCCAGCGACTTTGAATGCAACTGTGACATGTCTATTTCGTGGTTTTTTTTTGTAGGTCTTTCTATAAGCGATTAGTTACATATCAGCCTCCTCGTTGCTTTTACTAGGCACAATGCAATCAATACCATAATACTGATTAGTAGAAGTCGTGCATTATGTAAGTGAATGTACTTCTGGCTTTCCAATCCCTAGAAGATGGAGGAGGGGCTCCATCCCTCCGGCAGCTCTTGCTGGTCTTAATCGGCGGGGCGTGGACGTAGGCGTCCTATCATGACTAAGACGACTCATACATTTGTGCGAGCTGTGTTCGCAATGTTTAGTGCGTGTTAGGCGACAGTGGGTACGGAATGTCACTTCGCTTTTTGCATCGGACGCGTTCTCCAACGCCAGCGTTTTGGTGAGCCCCGCTACATGGAATGCTAAGGCCTGAGCTACTAGCCTTACTTAAACTCACCGGGCGTAAACAATATCTTTGCTTCGGCCGCTTGGGACGGCTTTAGGCTCTCCCATAGTAGAGTACCAAGTACTCTAAATTGTTACCCACTTCTTCTACTCCCACTTCTTTTAACGTTCTTTTCTTTTATTCGCGTTTATTGCTTTGTGTGCGTTGCGTTAACAATGCGTACTTTTCATTAAAGCGATAAATATTCCGAACGTCGCTTCACTCTATGTAGCAGCCACGACCTCTCACGGCAGTTTTTTTGTTGCGTCACGCCAGGGCGAATGCTAAAAAACTGCGATATCCGATACTTACCTTTTACAAGATTCGAATTTGTTGCTACCACACGCTGATTCATCTTTGCGGCGAAACTGCTTTTTCTATTTAAAAGTTTTACCACATGATGGGGCAGAAGGTGGGACAAATTGTTGACTCGAAAAATAACAACGCCACATAATTTAAGCATTGAACAAGAATAGTTTCAAGTTTAACTGTGAGGGCTATCACACGAAAGACAAGTACTACAAGAGCGCAGTCTTGTTCAAAGTTACGCAATCAGTAGAAGCAAGCGCTTGCGACACCAACTCTAAAAGCGAGTACACGGAGGAGTAAGGCCGCAACGCCTCGAAAAAAGCCAGTGCAATGGATCAATAATGCACGTGAGCTGCATTGCTCAGCTTGGGACGAAGAGAGTGGTGAGGCCCTTTGAGGGGAGCTTTGAACGAACTTTTGGGAGACGCCAACCATAAACAAGAAGAAAAAAGAAGCTAACTTTGAAACACGTGCTCGAATGACAGTAGCAATATTTATTTATTTATTTATTTTTGTTACCCTCTATCACCGAAGCATTACAGAGGGTGGAGGTGGTTACGAAATGACAAATGCAGAGCAAGAAAACAAAACGTGCTATGTATGAACAAGACTAAAGCAAAATAACATCTCAATTCGGTGAAATGAAACAAAAGTGAAACGAAAAAATAAATAGAAATAAGAGAATCACAAAGGGGAAAAAAGTGGATGTGGTAAGGTTGTACAACACTCGCAAAAATTGCAAACTAAAGATAAGTCACAGAACAAATTAAAAAAAAAACAAGAACCTACTGGAAAACGACGGCATCTTGACACGTATAGACAGAAAGTCGTGAAGAGGGGAAATAGATGGGATGATTAGGGAGAGCTATCGGGAAGTAGGTATTATCCGTGTTCTGAGGAAATTGGGTGAGAGCCTGGAAGCCTGACAAATGGAAGAAAGGAAAGGCCAGGGAATGCGCGTTTCACAGCAAACCATACAGACTCAACGTGAAGATTGACAAAGCAACGTTCTCCAGCAAGTAGTGATGAGGTGTAGATAAGTGTTTCTGCACTGCGCGGCCAAGCATCCTGGATCCAGATGACATAAAAGATCACACCGAATTTCACAGGAAAACAGAGAAAAAATACTATTGCAAAAATTGCTGTCATGTGGTCAGTGCAGCACCATTTCGATGGTTCTCTGGACATCTGTCAACCAGCTGCAATGAATACGTTGTTAAGGTTCAACTTTGAGAAACTTTATGTACTGCAGGTTTCTTTATACTGTTGTTTCAATGTAGGAAGAGAAGAAAGCTGAATGAATGACGGAAGAAAAATTTGGGGGTTTGTTTTTTTGTCCGGCACAGAGTTGATTAAAACGAACAGATAATGAGGCCAAGAAAAATACAGGGGATATCAACTGCAATGCTTTATGACTGTTGTAGTAACTTTAAATATATGTGAATCAAATGAAGTGGTTGAAAAGTCACCTGACTGGTGGTAGGGGCCACACCTGTAACATTCAAACTACGCTCCTGAATCTTTTACCACATGAGCTGGAGCGAAAGTCGTTTTGTCCATTGCTTTCTGTGTTATGTGTGTGCAAACCCTGAGCGTGTTGGTCACCTAATCAAGCAGTAAATTGTGCTGGTTCGTCTTCGTAGGAAGCGAGAAACTATAGATGGGCAGCAAGAAGGATGAAACAAGCGCTGAACTAAAACTAAGCGTTTATTTGGAAAAACGAACACTACTTAGGTGCAGGAATGAAGAACCCAAAGTAAAAAAAAAAATTAAGCACACGTGTCACGCCAGACATTACTTATCTACTACTTCCTGACACAACGCCCAAAAAAGCAAAACTTCTCTCTGTGTAAACAAGATCGGCGGGGCACTTACGCGATCGAAATCTTCTCGTTTCATTTATGCAGGCTCAACTATGAATCTGGTTAATAACGTATCGCCACTTGTCGCCATTACGGCGACTGTGGGCACTCTTTGCCCACGGGAGTCACTTAGTACGTGAACATTTAAAGTGCGTAGCGCCTATAAATAAGCCATCGAATCTTACCTGAAGGCATCAGCTCTGCCAGAACGAGACCCTCGCTATTAATGAAAGAACAGAAGTTTCGGGGCTCGTTTCTTTGTCTGACAGGACGCTAACGAAAACCAGCGGATACGGAAGCAAAAAAGCAAGACGGCGTAGACGTAGCGGCTGAGAAAAAAAAGTCACATGATCTCTTATGCATCTGCTTAAGACTACTTGAAGCGAAGGCCATTTTTTTTTTTTTGCTTTAGTATCGATTCTTACCCTCCTGATAGTCTTGTTTATGAAAGTTTTCTTTAACCAACGTGTTCTTGGACTACGTCCGGTACAAGAAGGACTGGATGTTTCTTTCATCTTTCCTAGCTTTGTTACTGTGTCCGGGACTGGTTTACCTTTTGCCTAGCGATGATTTGGTATTTTGGCGGCATCATCCTGTGTCATATAATGGCGTGAAAGTGCGTCACAGTGATTGGCACATTTTGGCAATATGTCACGTCGACGAGCCGTGATCTCTGATAATGTGACTTCTTGCCATCGTTCGTATTGCCACCGCAACCAACTATCACTATCATGTTCGATAAGGTATCTAAGGCATTCGTCCGAAGAGCGCGGGACAATAGTCAGTTATTGTAAAGCATAGATGCATTACCACAGCGACAGCTGTCAGAACAGTGATATCTTTGGCAATCTGAAATGGCTATCGCAGTTGGGATAGCCATCAGAGTATTCAGCAGTTAGGTTGAATGCTGTAAGGCTGGAAGCATCTCGTGATCAGTGTCACTATAAAAAAATGTGGTATTACTGTAGTGACAGCTGTTGAAACAATGATAGATTTGGCACTGGTTATCCAAGATTGAGAAGGGCAGCTGTTATATTGAGAAGTGGGTTTCTTCATTGCTGCTGGATCAGGGGAGTTGGCATTTTTGGGAACGTGCCCATCACACGTTGGTTCAAATTCTCATATCTCCTCTATATTGTCATGTTTTTTTTTTTGCTTTCCGTAAAAGCCAAGTTACAATAACTGAAACCAATAAAAAACACAGTTTTTGCTACCGATGATATTATTCGGCTTATTTCGATATTTTTTCCTACAGTGGACATGTCACCAAAATTGATGTTACAATAAATATATGTTGTAGCTGCTCTATACAGCCCATTGTCACCGGTATTCAGAAATAAAAGTTGGATTCAGTTTGTTATAAAAAAGAACGTTTTGTTGTGACCTGAATTAGCCCCAAAAAGAAGTCTAAATGGCCGCGAATGAGAAATATAGCAATATTTACTACGAAATTAAATTAACTTTATTCTTTTGGTTCTGTTGGTGCCATCTTTTGTTGCACGGGTCTAATGGCGATGACGTATCATATAAATTGAGTCGTTTACTTAGAAGAGACGTTCGACAGTTTAGAGTACGATGCACTCTACTGCGCTACACATCGTCATTCTCCCCGTAATCACTCTACCATTGTGATGGCTTCTTTAGAGTAAAGTTAAAGGAATAATTTGATGAGCCTGTTGTGATAGCCCAACCTCTGGCATTTTCCGTCAACGGTGTCTAAAGGGGCGGAGAAAATTTTAAGGCGATATCGTTAAAGAGCTTTTTTCGCAGAAATTCTGGCACCGGCGTCGGCACCGGAGTCGTTGGTCGTGGGCGAAAAATCGTATTGTGAGTGACCGAAAAACAAAAAAGATAGAAATAAAATCAATAGAAAATTTTGGATCAAGTGGGGATCGAATTAGGGTCGTTTGTGCGGGAAGCAAGTGTTCTACTACACAACCACGCGTCATCTCTTTTTTTTTCCCTTTATGGCTTTGTGTATCAACACTGTTCACATACTCGACAAATTACGAGAGAACAGTACTACAACACAAAGTTCTGCTTGTGATTGCGGTGAAAATAACTTCCTCATCTTGGATGTGCCTCATGGAGCTTCGACGAAAGGGTCGGGGCGTTAGCGTATCTCTACTGTGCCGGGCAATTCCACAGCATGTGCGGGACCCAGCTCTTTACGACCAAACCTGGGCGACCCAGCGCGCCCGTGAGGCGGCGTCGAGGCGAGCCCTTGACGTCCCCTCAAGGAAGGCTTAGGCCCGGCCACCTAAAACTGCTGGTTTTTTATAATAAAGTTTATTCCTCCTCCTCCTCCTCCTCCTCTTGGAATTGCAGTGCAATCGACTTTCATGCTTTACAAACGCTTCACAATACAACATGAAATATTGCACTGATTTTGCAGGCACAGGCATATATTACCATCAGGTGCCAGAACGTGTGATTATCATGACTCTTATGGTTGAAAACTGGTTATTCACTACAAAATGCACACACATTACTGCGCGTATTCCCTCAATGCCACGTAGCGGGTGCATGTCAAGTTCTAAAAGGTTTCATCACTATGTGTTTGAAGTACGCACCAGGGACAGGATATTGCTATCACATTCAACTCTTAAAGGAAAAGCTTAAGGATTCCCCTAATTTTTCGTCGTAAGATTAGTGTGTCAATTGTATGCACCCATAATGTTGCTTAGTGGTTGGGGATTGATAGTTTAATAAGTTTAACTGTGCATTGTTTGACGTGTTTTCTTTAAGCACACAAAACATATAACATGATATTGTCAACCATGTTTTTCTAAGCACGTAATTCAGGAGGTCACATTGGTGCCCACGCGCAGAGACTTTGGTGCGAAATTTTAATAGTTGGAAAGCTGGGATATATCATGTACTTGCGTGACGAAGGAAAATCATGACAAGGCTCATGTTAACGTTCCTGTTGGTGGTCAATGCTTATGCCGTGCTTTCTATATGTTTAGGTGTTTCTTCGTTTTGTGTTTTCCTGTTATTGTGTAGCTGAAAACTATCACAAACGGCGCGAAAGAAGTTGGATTGCACAATTTCGGCACTTTAAGCTTACCACAGTACGCGTGAAATTCATCACTGAATAAACCAGTGGTTGCTGGATTCAATGTAGCTCTTCTTTCCTAGCCACAAAGCCTTATTTCTTTCACAAACGAAGCAGTGTTGTTGA